AGAAGCTAGGGTACTAGCTGCGAGTTCAGGATCAAAGAAGCAAGACAGATTTAATGAGGTAGGCAGGCAGAAGGCAAAACCACAGTCCCCTCTGAGAGAATTAACTGCACTGAAGCTAAGGGGGGGTCTTTGCCTGGAGGTAGTTAGATCAATCTGGCTAGTTTTAATTCAGAGGAACTTGATTTGTTTTGGATGTAAAAGGTTAGTGAGCATTAAATCAGAGCTACTTCCATTTTGTCAGGGGTTCTTGTCCACTCAGTGTGAGGATGTTAAGCCCTCATGCAGAGATGGGTGTCTCTTAGGTGTTCCAGATTCTTACTGGCTGAATACAGATTTCCCTACTCAGGACCTTAGGTTTCTTTTGCTCCAGTTTTCTTCTACCAAGGCATTCTGCTGCAGCTCTCAAGTGGTTCTAGCAGGCAAAAGGATCTCAGAATAAAGTAATTCCTATATATAACAAAATAAAGTTAAAACTGTGTCAGAGATGGTTTTTATGTAAGTTGAACAGTAATAGGCAAACTGCCATTAAGTTATATCTTTGTATCTAAGACACAGACTCATTTATCTGATTGGTAAAATTTCAGACAACTAAAATGAGCTAATAGGCTTTCTAAGCCTATGCCACAATCCACATATAACATAAATGAGGTAAGTCTGTAAGAGGGGAAGAATCACAGGAAGTCTAGATGTGTGAACTAGAAAAATGTTTGAAAGTATATGGAGCATTCTCAACACAAAACAAGATATCTGAGTGGATCACTCTCATGCAGAGAGAAAGAATATGGTTCCTTCCCGCTTGCTACCTTAAAATATAGAGCTTGGAAGGAAATAGGATAGATAAAATGCCTATCTAATGTACTGTCAGCCATGTGAGACATGAGCATTATTACAACTGCTGGAAACCTGGGTTTCTGAAACCTGATCAGAGTAGCCTGTATAGTTCTGTAATTAGCTCTTCTTTGTTTTCCATAAATAATTAGTGAAGTCCATTTGAAATACTACCCAATCTCAGCAGATCAAGAGAAGTCACAGGAAGTGCACGGTCAACTTTAGAACAGTATCATTTTATTTGTGAAGGAATGTTTCAGCTAAAACTGATGGCATATCTGAGGGTTAAGACTGGAATTATAGTATATGCCTTTTGTTATCTAGTGATTTTCCCTTAAGAGCTCTTTTCTAACCAAAATCTATAGGATTTTAGCTAGGGAAACCAGGTTATCAGCAAGGAGACTCAAAATATTTCAAGGAAGAATTGTTAAGACAATGTCCTGAATAATTCCCTAGATCATCCTTTGTACAGAAACTCAAATGTTAAAAATTAAAAAGTTGGACCTTTCTCATTGGAGTGGGAAAAACAGGTGGAAATGCCTGTTCTACATTTAAGAACACAAATATTATTTAAGGGTAAGAAATAATCAAAGATACTCCAACACAGGAAAAATGAAATACTCAGATGAAATTAAAGTATGAAATTAAACTATAAACAATTTTGAAAATTGTTAAAGATAAAAAATTCTAACTTTTTAAAGAAAGCAGAGCCATATTTATAAATTAAATTTTTTAAAAAGACTGAGGATGTGATCATGGAGTAAAATATCAAAACAGTATTTCAGTAATAATTCCAGATACTATGCTGACTATAAACTCGATAAGGCAAATAAAGCAAAACCCTAAACAATCCAAGTAAACTCCCAGATCTGTTTATGAACTCATTTGGTAATTGTCTAGGCAATCTTTTCTAAACATTAATAAGAAAAGTAACTGAAAAGAGAAAATGATTTTGAACAAAAGGTGAGACCCAAAGTTTAATACCATAAAATTTCAAGCACCCAGTATTCTGAGGTATGTTTTCCATAAACTCTAATTTTAATGTATTTCTTAAAAAAAAAAACAAAACAATAAGTGTGTGTGTGTGTGTGTGTGTGTGTGTGTGTGTCTGTCTGTCTTGGAGTCAGTTACATTAGGTAACTGCTACATATTTTGGTATTTGCATACTACCCACAAAGTCTCTTCAGAGGTCCTGCAATAAATAACCTACACTGATGACCCAAGTACCTCCCACATTTATTTGACTATTAATATTTGTCATTACTCCATGAAACACTTAAACTAGATTAGCAAAATAAGATATTTTACAGTCTCTTATTTTTAGGCTTTGTCCTGGGCAGTTTTAGTTGATGTTTGAAAGTGAAAGAAATTAAAATTAGTACATGAAGTAACATGCAGATTATTTATACATTACACTTTGGCAAACCATCCCTGTACTTTATTACCATAAATATAACATTGGTTCAAAACAAAACAAAATGAAAACATAAAGCCAAGTTAAAAATAAGAAGGATGGAGCCAAATACCCCTAGAAGCTCAACAATGATAGTGATTGTGGATTGGTAAACTAAGCTTTTGTGTTTCAAGCCTTTTCCTTTTTGCTTCTTCTGTGTGGAATGCTTTACATCCAGATATCCATCTGCACATTCAGATCTGAGCTCAAAGGTCACCTTCTCAAGCCTTTCCCTTGCCACCTTATCTAAACTAAGCCTCCTTACTCCAACATTATCAAACACTGTATATGTATAAAATTTCTTCGTTGCACTTATTTAGTTACTAGCATGACTCAGTGCCTAGAGTGGTGTTGGACACATAGTAGATGCTCGACAATTACTTACTTAATGAATGAATAAACATTATTTTTGCAAAGCAACCTTCCACTTCTTTTATATGTACCCATCAGGGTTAAATAAATGTAGCAGGAAGAGGGACCAATACTAATGTTTCTTTACTATTATTTCAGTACAAAAAATGAACACAGCATCTTGCAATTCAATTATTTAACACAGTAAGTTGCTTTTTTGTGTGTGGTACTATTTATTGTTCAAACATGTCAAAAGTTCTCTTTAGCTCAAAGAAAGCATAAAATTTCAAGTTGCATGGTGTAAATAAGAGTAAAAGCAATCCTGAATACATTGTTTCAATATTAATAAAACAGGATAAGTTATTATTCCTCTAGAACATAACAAAACCTATTAAAATTTTTGAAAAAACCTCAACCTCCAGAATGAGTATGAGTTACTTCAATTAAATGCAGCAAACTGACTATGAACTATTTCAGAGTAACAGTAACTTTTGAGAAGTTAAATGACAACAAAAAAGGAAAGAATCAAGGTGAATTCTAAGCATTAAACAGTACAGAAAAAAAACTGACTACAGCCCTGCATTTCTGGTTGTTTAAATGTAGGTAAGACATGGTTCTTGTATAGCGATACACCATTGAGAGTTGAAACAGCTACCAGGACAGGCAAACTAGATGAAGAGATGGAGATGGGCGTACAATAATATCTATTTCTTTGAAACTTTACAAACTTAACGGCTAGCTTTTACTGAGTGCTTACTGGATTCCAGGTGTTAAGTCATGTGCAGTGAAAGGCAGAACTTGAATTCAAACCCTGACCTCTAACTCTAGATCCAAAGCACTTATCTAGTGGACTGCAGGACGGATTTTGACACTGAATTACCCATAATGCAGTTTTAAATCTCTCCACAGCTGCATGACTACATAACATGCCAACTTCTGGTTTAAGACATCTACACAAAGAGCAATCAATTCATCTTCAACAGGAGTTCAAAATTTCTATATTCTCCCAAGTTCTCCTCAAGAAAACCCAAAATAATTTATTCAGACATACTCTAGACTGATGAGGTAATTTCAGCTCTGATAAAGGCATTCTTGCTTTTGTCTGCCACCTGTCTGTATATTTTCTCCAGATTATAAAATTTCCAAAATGATCTCTGAATAAGGAACTTAAGACCTCTCATCCCTGGCAAACATACCCTATTTCCCAAGTAGCAAAAGCAACAAAACCAAAAACTTGCTAAACAAAATAGTCACACAAAGCTTTCTACACAAAAAATTTGCGTAGCATAAACACTTCCGCCTGGTATACTATGAAATACTTGCCTCAGATTCTAAAATTCAGAAACAAACCTGATCACTGACATCTAACTACTTACAAAGCAGTCAGAAATTCAAGTTACTGGTTCCTAATCACACTGTCCTTTTTTTAAGTGGCATAAAATCCAGGTTTTAAATCTGACTTATATTCTCAAATCATTCCTTATGAAGAGAAAAATCTTCATTAAAAATTACATACATATGTAATATATATATATATATATTATATATGCATATAGTATACACAGACACACTCCTGTATAATAAATTAACTGGTCAACCTTCAGTTATTAAGTAGATTCTTCTCAGGGCAGGGCCAAGATGTAATAAATGAAATATGCTTAAAAGTGTATTTGTTCCAGATTTAAGAAGGACCTGTGTATTTGAATTTATAATCAAGGAACCACAACAAATTACTAAAAAAAAAAAGTGTAATGAATAAGCAACTGCCCCAGCATGATAGGGACAATTTCAATAATCCAATCTGCAAGGCCAGAATAAGGTCTTTTTTTTAGAAAAGAGTTTGAAAAAAAAAAAGAGAAAAGAACATTAGCGTTCCTTCATAATCCAGTTAAGAAGCCCACACTCAAGACACATATTTGGTTTACTAAAACTCATTAAAAAGAAACAACCTAATGATCCTATTTTATTATTCACCAATCTGAAATCTTAGACCTTTTCTTTCTTGATTCTTCAAACTGCCTTTAATATTTGAGTCTCCACAAGCATCAAGACTGTCTATATTTTACCCTGCATATTGTGTATTTTTCTATTACTTTACTAAAAAACCAAACAGCTTAAAAAACTGCAATAAATTGACATCAAATAATCTCATTTCCTTCTATCAGTTCTCAAAATGATGCTAGAATGCTCTACCTGTCCAAACCTATTGTTACTTAAATATGTACTATCTACTCCAATAATTTTTACTAAACAGAAGTCATTTTAAATGGGAACTATTTGAATTATGCAACTGAAGCTTTTTCTATTTTCTATCAAATCATAAGATAATCAGTGTAATATACATGAGGTAAGAATGACCAAGTCTTACCTTTGTCAGTTGTTACTTTTTCTACACATCTGAAAGAAATGAGAATCAAATATTAAACAATCTTACACACTTTCTTAAAACACAAATATTTATGTGTTTAACTTTCAGGTTAATTGCCAGAGTGATGCAGAAAGCATCTAGAATAGTGCTGTCCAACAGAATTTTTCAGTGATGAAAATATTCTATATCTGCACTGTCCAACATGGTAGTCATACGTGACTACTGAGTGCTCGAAATAGATAGCATAACTGAGGAACTGAATTGTTAATTCCAACCAATGTAAATTAAAATAGCCACATATAGATACCATATCTGACAACACATAGCCAGAGTATCAATCAAAGCCTATGGTTTTCTAACTGTAAATATATATTAATATGAAAAAAATATTGCTCATTTTGCTATGTTAAGTGGTTATAACAGAAAATGTCCTTATTTTACACAAATGCAGTAACTAGGAGTAAAATGAAATCAAGTTTGGGATTTCCTCTAAAATACTTCTACCAAAAGAAAAAGAGAAGGATAGGAGTCAGAAGGGGCAAGCATGGCAAAAATCTAAATATTATTGTTAAATCTAGGTGATAAATACTGGGGTTTCACAATACTATTTTCTCTACTTTGTGCATATTTGACAATTTGCATAATAAAAATTTAATGAACCTAAAAGAAAACCCCAAAAGCATTTATTTGTTAAACCCAAGTCAAAATCTATTTCTAAAACGGCAATAGATTGGACCTAAGAAATAAATGTACTTTACAGATTAGATAGCAACAGTAATAAGTTCAATGTGTTACAAACTACTGATTTTAAAAATGCTACCCCAAATTTTTTATTTGGGAAAATTTCTATCATACTGCTGAGCACAGTACAATGAACCTCCCTAGAACAATTCACAAGTGGACATGCTTTGGATCTTTACCATAAAAATACCACACATTTTCCTTTTTTCTTTTTGAAAGTAACCCAAAAATAAATGAAGACTCTTACAAAAGAATATCCAAATACAGAAGCCACAGTATAATATAAACTTCATTCTCTTTAGAAAGAATAGCTATCATTTTCTAATTCTGTATTTCTTTTAAAAAGCCTGTAATAATTTTATTCAATTTATATTATTAATGTCCCAATTAACACAAGAACTGCTATCATCCTAACTCTAAATGACAAATATAGAAATAACTGCTAAATTTTGAAGTATTATGCAATAAACTTTCTGAAAATCTTTTGACATGGTTCAATGTTTCTATTACCATACTGATCACCACAGGAAGAAAACGCGGGATTTTAGTCTTATACAACTGAAGCCTTCTCCAAAGAGCCACAGAAATCATTTCAATTCAGAATATTATTGCCTATTCACTCTCAGTGCTCAGGACCCTCACACCTTTTCCTTAAAAACGGAAATAGCATGAAAGTGTCACCCAAAGGTTTACTACCATATTCCTTTTAACAAGAAAGTAAACCAAAAATAGAATTCCATACACCAGAAAAACAGAAATATTCATTTCCTTCATCTGTAATCCATCTAAACTTTCAGGAATACCTCTAAGAATACTGTTTTAACCAACAGGATTATTCAACAACTAAATTAGAAGCTTAAGAAATCATTCAAGTTTTAAATTCTGAAATGTGTTACATAAACTGAGAACTTACTATCATGTGATAGAATGAAAAGAAGCCTTTCTGTATTTTAAGCTAGTCTTAACAGTTACACTTTCATATTTGTTGTTTTCACTTGTGAACCAGAAAAAAATTGGTGCAATATATTTTTAAAAATTAGACAAGTATATAAACACCTGCATTTGAAATACAAAAATCTTAACTCTGGATTTTATTTAAAATACTACTAATGATGAGCCTAATTCTTAGACAGTACTGATATATAGCCTTTATTCAAATCTGGTTCATCTTTCCTATTAGCTTTCAAATTTTAATTTATAGTGATTCGAGTATTTAACTTTACGCCTTTCTCTTGAGCACATTCACTGGAAACTTTCTGCCCTTCACAAAGATTTCCTACTCTTTTCACTAACTTCTGGACATTTCAGTGCAAGTAGAAAAGTTGTTATAAGCTTAGAAAGTTTATAAAAACTGTAACCAAATATCAACAATAAAGCTGATTTCACAAATCATATATCATGAGTCACAGATGAAGAAGTAGATTTAAAAGTAGAGGTTATGTGACTTGTCCAAGGTCATGTAGTAAGTTGTAGAAAGCTGGGACCTGAAACTCCTTAAGTCCAGTACTTTTTCCACTGTGCCTTCTAATAGGGAAAGAGGTTTCAATTAATCCAAATCTCATTTACTGGCCTTTTGAGCTATCTCCTCAAACAAGACAAACAAATGTAGGTTAAACTGCGGATTCCTGGGAATTTATATGGGAAAATGCTGGGACATGGAAAAAAGACTTGAACAAACAATATAGATTAAACCTCTTATTTTGTTGTTAAAAAATGTCATGTTACTTGGAAAACAGAGATGAGTCAAGGTCAGAAGGCACTTGACCAGGGTTCAGTAAACTGATACTCAAAACCTCTTGAAATATCTTAAAGGCTTAAATTCAAATTTCCTATTTAGTTTTAAATTTGATCATTCTGAAAATATATAAACCATGCACACATTTGACAAACCTCCATCCACTATTCAATGCATCTTCCCCTTAAACTGCAAGGTCCTTGAAGACTAGTCTATGTGTCACTTTTCTTTATAAAGCCTCACTTAGCACAGTACCAGGCCCGGTTACTGATGAATCAAGGTTAACTGAGCTGAAAGGCTTTAGGACTTCTCTGATTTTCAGGGTATGCATTAAACTGAAAATGTGTAACCAAAAACAATTATGAAAAACTTACTTTAATGATCAGATCACAACTGCGTAATTTTAAATGCCTAACAAAGAAATAGTTCTGAAGTAAAAGAAGGTAAAACAACACTACTTTTATAATACCGGATGAGAGAGGGAGGGAGTCTAAGACGTAAGACTATTCCTTTTTTCCCTATTTACAAGGAATACTGTGGAGAAAAAACCTGGAAGGGATTTACATTAGCTTCATCCAAGTTCGACTGTTTTAACATTTATATTGTGAAAGTCAGAAGACTCTTTACTTTTTACAATGTTTTTCACTACTTTTTTGCCAAGAATCGAGGGGAAAAGAACAACTACCACTCTAGGTATAACTATCTTAAGAGATCATTTCTTCATGTAAAACTGGTGAAACAGTGGGAGGGAAATGTGGCTAGGAGATATAGGTACATTTAACTCACAAATGGGTAGGTGAGAATAGAGAGGAATTTTAAAAACACATTAACCTTCCTATGTATGGCAATAAAAAAATGGAAAAACACCAATTTTGCAGAACTCACAAGAAAACCACCACTTATATCTCCATTATGCCACAATACAAAACAGTAACTTTCAACAAATATTTCCTATGTACCAGGCTTTGAGTTAAATGCTGCACACCCTGTACTTAATCCTCACAAACTGGGCTCATAGATTACCATTATCTCCTTTAGATAAGGAACCCGAGGCACAGTGTTAAGAAATCTGTCCAAGAAATTTATGGCCAAATAAATCTAATAATATCTTTTCAAATTTATGACAGTAAATACAGCAGGTTTAACTTATTTTGACCAATAAGTTCATTTACAGCAATTACAACAATTACAATGCTAACTGAAGCCGTATGATAAATTGTAAGTACAGGTTTTTGTTGTACACAGAACTGGTTTACATAGTAAGTTTTCTAAATTATGTCAACTTAAACATTCAAAAATTCAAAGCACATCTAACACCACAGTAAGATACCTAAGAACTGTATTTCTCTTTTTGAGAGGCTTCTAACGCAAGCATGCTAAGACAGGGTTAATTTTGGAACAGGTGGGTTTCAAGTTTTAAATCTACTGTATCAGGCATAAGCCAAATCCTGCCACAGTCTCTACTGGCGGGTGGTTTGTGAATGGAAGAGGCACTTAAAACTGATTCCCCCACCTTGAATTTTCCCTGCTTTTACTAATTTTTTTCACTTTAAAGTCCAAAGACACAACGGATGTTTTCACTTATGAAGTCAATGGCTAATGTGACTAATTTCTAGAATTTACAAACACGTGTGCTTCACGATTTGAACAAAGAACATTTTAATAAACAATTTAAAATATTTATGCCCCCGGTCCCTCTATTACCTCTAGGTAATAAAAATTAAGCTAATCTGAAAGGTGTTTCTTTAAGTATGAAGTTCCTACATTACTACATATGCAAAATCAAACAAACAAAACATACACTATTTTGCAGAATACAGGAGATTAAAAATACTAGTACAACTGGCTCTAGCTAATTAACGGGAAGGGGCGGGGAGAGGGGGGGCACGCTTTTTAAGGCTAAAATCGTGCAGTTGATTTCCTAATGGGGATGTGATGTAATACTGGAGAGCCACCCTAGAGGGAAAGGAAAGGGATTGGTTGACAAAGGGCGTGCAGATGCCAGAGTGCGGGAGAAGGCTGCAGCGGCAGGAAGACACGCGTCACTAAAGAGAGAAGTGTATCCTACAAAGGACGACTTCACCGAGGGGGGAAGTGGGCGGACAGAGGGCACGCGGGAAGGACGGCAAGGAGCGCTAAGACGGCTACCAGGGAAGCGGGGTGACATCTGGCGTGCGAGCCGGCAGGGGGCAGAGCAGGCAGGATGTCACGTGGAGTGGGCACTACGGGAGCCGAGAGGGTTGCGTGCGGGCAGAGGGGGGTCTTCCCCACCGCCTGAACGGCTGCGTTACTCACAGGAGTCGTGGACTCTTCTTGCCCTGGGCTGGAGACGGGGGCTTCGCGGCCTGGTACTGTTGCCCTGGGGCATCCGGAGGCCTGGCGCTGGGGCTGCTCCTCCGCCGGCGGGGATACTCGGCCTTTCTCCGGCGAGACACAGCGGCAGCGGCGGCGGCCGCAGCGGCCCGGCCCCGGTCCCGACCTCCCCTCAGCACGCGGCTGCTAGTGGTCCCCGCAGGCGTCGTCGCCGCCGCCGCCGCCACCGCAGGGCGCTGTTGTTGGGGCTCCTCCGGAGCTGCTTTGGCAACCGCCGCCTCTCCCCCTTCCTGGTTCTGCTGCTCCGGGGGTCTCGGCTCTTCCGTCTCCCCCGGCATCGGGGCTTGTCCGTCCCCCACCCCCTAGTCCCAGGCGGCGGAGGCGGAGGCCGCGGCGGTGCTCCCCCCGCCCCCCTCGCCTCCCGGAGCGTCCGGCTCACTCACTCCGCGCTCCTCTTTTCCCCCCTCCCCTCCACCCGGCTCCGAGGGCGCCCCCCCCC